ATAACAAAGATTTCAGGTGACGAAAAGCGATATCTCCCATGTCTATAATCAACAATAGCCGGATAAAGTTATCTGCTTTCACAATCTGTGTCTGTCAGTCAGGACGTCTGTGTGAAGTAAAACTTGGTCTTGAAATCGATCAGCACTTGATCGGATCAGAGTGACGACGATCGTATCGTGTTCGGTCTCGCCGTCGCCGTCTGCACATGTTTGAAATAAACGAGATGCCTAGTGGTGAAAAACAAAATAATTGCTTCAACTTGACAGCAAAGCGTGTCCGAGTATGAGTATTGATTTCATACACAGAGCTTTCTTTTATTTTTCCAAAATTGGTTTTGGATATAAATTGACTGAATGTGCACCTGCGAAGAGGGGTTGAGTTACGTGTTTGGATAAAATGAGCTGTTTTTAAAACTAATGAAAGTTGAAAACAGAATAGTCTTGGATCGGGTTGCTTATTGTGTCATTCTTGTTGATTCGATATCCTGTCAACATAATATACCACGGTATTCAATTAAAAAATAGTCGCTTCTCCATGAATGTTTTTTATTTCGCCAAACAACATCAAGATGAGGTGTATTTGTTTCTTTCGGTTTTGTATGCACTAAAGTAACATGCGTTCCGTTTCATTGAATTAGGGCTGCATGACGCCAGAATCGCACATCAACGATTTTCATTTATATCAAGACCCACCCCCTCCAAATGAGAAGTTCCAGTTACATAAGTTTTGAAAATAATTATGTAGGCCAGAAACAAGTCAAAATATGGAAATATGAAAACAAAACAGAATTTTAGTGTTTTTTTTAAAGAAGGTATTTTGCACCTTTACAATAGAGAGCTTACTTCTGATGGGACAATTAAAATGATAATCAGCTGTCATTGCTTTACTTCTTCTCCTTTTTTCTACCCCTCCCCCCCCCCCCCCCCCACCCCCAACGACAGCAATGTATACACGAAGGCCCACATCTAGCCTCCTAAAATATGTAGAGAGTGGTGTAACCATAGGTACATGGGTATTCTTCTTTGGAAGCTCAACTTAGGATAATATAGTTCAAACTAACGACATCAACCGTTATATATAATAAGGTTCGACTCTCTTCTCAAGACCCCGCGGCTTTCTGAGTGGATTTTCGATAGATTTCCATTGATACATCGAAAATAAACGACTTCTAAGCTTGCCTAGCGTGGTATCAAAAGAGAAACTGATTGGAGAAATAGTGAGGGAGTGGGGTGAGTGGGGACAAGGAACAGAGAGGGAGAGAGAAAGGGGGACTAGAGAGGGAGAGAGAAAGGGGGGACTAGAGAGGGAGAGAGACAGGCAGATAAGGGTGAAATAAGAAGAGAGAGAGAGAGAGAGAGAGAGGGACAGAACGGAGATAAAGAGAGATAGAGGGAGAGAGAGAGGATGGGGGATTGAGAAGTTCGACAGACAGATGAGGTTATCTACATCATTATACCTTTGCACGTGTACAAATAAAATTTGTCTAGCATACTTCACTCTCCTCACAAAAATGATTATCCCCTAATCTAGGTAATAACTATGATGGAGTCTGACCGAGATATGGAAAGCTAAATATGTTATAACAAGGATTACCCTTGTCAAGGAAATTCATATAAATCTATTTTAAAGACCATTCTATACATGAAGGTCGTGTGTATTTTAATGAAAGGTCAAGTTTGTCTTCATAGCAACACAGGTTGATATGAGGGTGTGCGTTTGTTTTGTGCGACTAGAATATCGACATGGGGTACAAAGAGATCAGCTAAAGAGGGCGCTCTTTCACTTTGAATCCGAACGCGCATTGTCCGCTCTCTCATCTGACTAAATTTATGAGCGATGCATTCCACAATAGGTTAGCTTTTTAGGATAAATACATTTTGATATAGTGAAAATCCATGTTTTTATTCTTATCGTCTTACATCAATATTTACTGACTTAGCGAAAATTCAGACATAATCAAATAAAAGACCGATTTTGGAGGGGTGGGGTGGGCGGGGGTGTAAGATCTTTAAAAATTGTCAGCCAAGAAGCCTGTCCAAGGTTCAGCCCGTTTTAAAAGTTTCCTGGCCAAATTCTCAGTTACTCAAAAAGATACCAAAATGAAGGAAAACAAATGGACTTATGTATAGAAGTCTTTTTTATTTTTAAATCATCAAGTTTGCTCGTAGTAACAGCGGTTATTATTGCAATATAAAAACAATTATGTACATAATTATAATCATCACAGTCATGTGTACATAACTATACACATATAAATTTCACATATATATAAAACTGAATTTATGACATATATGATGTTATCAATTTCACTCATTCATTGTTGGAAGTTAATGATAAATGAAATCGTTGGTAAAAACAAAACGTCAAAAATAATCTTCCATTATGAATAATTCTACATTGCCGAGTTGTCAAATCGGGGATGAATGTACATGTAGCCCTTTTGACAAAAAAAGAGGGAAACTAAGTAATTTGCGCAAATCCAAGATGGTTGGGATCTAACCACTTATCATTTTCTATTACATTGCCAAATATTATAGCCCATACTCAAGGTTTGAAACCTTTGATTTTAAACCCCCTTGATATCAAGTTATACAACACCATTTGGTCATTTCACATGCGAATTCAAAGTCAGAAATACAACAACATTCACACAGCATATATTATGTCAAATACAATGAAATAGTTAATTAATATTTAAACATGTATGCATATCTATAAACATATAACAAAAGTTCTCATTACCCTCGTAAGAATGGAAGGGGAACTGGTTGAATTAAGACCTTTGCTGATTGTCATATTCTCAAGAAACATAAATGGGGACAAATCAATTTTCACATTTAAAAAAAACTTGGTAAGGGTATGAACAATTTAGTTGTTAACTGTATTTTACATCACATCATATATCTTTAGACAAAACATAATTCAAAACAAGCAAAAAATATCAATAAATTAGGATCACAAGTGGTTCATAACTTTATACATATACTGCATATATGTACTAGATGGAAGAGTACCTTAAAATGACGGAAACTAAATTCATAGTCCTTTCCCTCTGCGTTATGCTTACAAAAACATACAGTAAGATTCTTGCAAGATGACTCATGTACACCAACAAGTACACATGTGCTTGGTCTTTATCTTCCTAATCCTGATTCAATAACATGATGAATAGGGTGGACAGGTATTATATCCTGATCCCTAAAGAATAATACAAAGAATCCTTTTCATGAACTTGATGAGAATGAGGAGATTAGACATAGCAAACAATATCAAAGGAGAAAATGGCCTCTGGAGAACAGTAGGCCTGTCTTCATCAGCTCGAGTTTGCCAAATACCCCGCTATTTTAACTATCCCGAACCTCATCAGCCCACAGTTGCAATTAGCAGGATATTTTTCAACCAAATATCCAGAGAAATCTTGGTCTTGTTTCCAAAATATCCTGCTATTTGGGAAAAAGCAGCTAGTTTGCGCCCCTCTGAGTTAGTTGGCAATGAGCATATCAGTCTGGTGAAGACGCAATTTCGAGCTTCAGGATAATATCCAGAGTCTGAAAATAGCAGGTGATTTGGCAAACTCGAGCTGATGAGGACAGGCCTATCGTGACTTTTGTGGTCTTCATAAACACTGAAGTCCTTCCATACAACTTGTTAACTAATGTAAAGACTAGTAGACTACAACATACATGTAACAGATAGCAAACAATAGTTAGCAAGAAAATCATGACCTAACCTTTAAAAGAATCCTTTCATAAAGCTTGATAAGTAATTTGAAGATTACAACACTGCAGATGGCAAACAAAAGCAAGGGAGAGATTACGTTTGGACAACAATATAGCCTCTCATAAAACTTGGTACATAGTGTGAAGAAGATCATGAGGGCCTACAGGTGGCAGAAGATTACGCTAAACAAAGAATTGGTTCTGCAGCGTAATTAATTGGTAGAGTGCTCTAATATGGTTTCAGAGAGTACACTAACTCCTTTTGTAGAGCCTTTTCATAAACTTGATAAGGGGGTACAGGTAACAATGGTCCAGATGGCAAACATCAGCTTGAGAAAGAATAGGATTGTAGCTATTACAGCAGCATACATTCAACCGACTCGGTAACATTGCCTCAGATTCTGAAACAATATCCTGGATTTAGCTCATGCTGCAATGATAATTATTAACCTTTAGGTCAGTCAGGAATCCCATGACTTTTACAAGCCGATCGCCAGTCTGATTATCAAGATATTTATGATTGGAAAATCAAAATTTCATATTTTGTTAACCTATTCACAAGCCCCTCCTAGGGTTTGGCTCAGGTTGACACCACTTATGATTTAAACTAACCAATAACGTTATAAAGACAAAATTAAGGAATCGATCAAAAAGTTTGAGGGAATCATTCAAAAGACATGAAAAAGATGAGATGCAATAAGCCTCCAGTTAAACCAAGACACTTGGTCATACAGAATTTTGAAAATTGAATTTACATCACTTTAACCAATGTACATGTACATCACACATAATGCTGCAATATCATACTTGATGCTTAAAATAATACAATCATATCATCTGTATAAAGGTTTACAATATTCAAACCTGTGTTGATACCATATACTTAGCTTAAATTTGTAGTCCCACATGTGCACATTTTATGCATGCTTTTAAAAAATAAACAAACATATAACAGATCGACTTCCAACGACTTTACTTCTCTTTCTTCCTAGCATTGTTATAGTCACGAGTTACCTTTTCCTCTCTTCTCCATCACTCTCTGGCATGTCCCATGTGCTGAAATCCATGTTATTACACAACATTCTATTTCAATTTGTGGTAGTCATTCTTTTACCCCTCTGTCACCCGCTGGCTAGTCCCGCACGCTGAAATCCTTGTTGGCTCATAAACGTTGGATTTCTCTTTGTGGTAGTCATTCTTTTACGGTCAGATTTATTTCTCCTTTCTGTCACTTTTTGGCAAGTCCCGCATGATGAAATCCATGTTGATTCATAATGCTCTTTTTCACTTTCTTACAGTCGATAAAATTGTTGCATATTTCATTCTCTTCTCGGTCACTCTTTGTCTGGTTCCACATGCTGAAGTCCACGTTGGCTCATAAATGTGCATTATATCACTCTGTTGTATTCACTAAAATGGCTATATTCCCAACTTTTCTCTGCCACTTTTATGTCCGAAATGGTTACCTTTACCTCTCTTCTCTGTCAGTCTTTAGCCAGTCCCACATGCTGGCATACATGTTGGATCATCAATGATTTATTTCAATTAATGTGTCAAATGTCTCTTAAATCCTTTCTGCACTACCATTCTCATTGGGTGACCTGACATCGCCATTTCTTTCTTCATGGGCCGGAGGCTGGCTGAAGCCCTCGTAAACATTAGAAGCAAAGTCCTTCACGCACTGCATCAGTAGCAGCTCCTGTGTGATGAGAAAAATATTTGTAACTGAAGGAAAACTCTATAACAATAATAATATATCGTGTTTATATAGCACTTAATACATGAACAAGGTCTCTCAGCACTTATATTACCCTGGTCATTTGATTTGGGCTTGCCCGCACACAACATATGCACATTCTCCACTCCCTGGGGAGCATTCTAGCCAGGCACCATTTCACAGACACTCACAATGCCGGGCAAACTAGCCTAACGTTCGCATCTTAACGGATACCCATTTTTACACCTGGGTGAAGAGTGGCAGATTTAGATCGACGTCTTGCAAAAGGATATACCCAAGTGCCAAGCTGGGATTTAAACCCAATGACTTATTCTCTAGACCACAACACCTTTACAAACTATATATAAAAAATGTTTGGTTTGGGTTCGAAAGATTTGCTGAGGAACAAGAGTCAAACAAGCAAACTTGTGCAAAAACACAAAATATATAATTTGAACTTTATTGTTCCATCTTTGAGTCATCAAAATCGGACATAGTGAAACCCATACAAATTTAAATTCAGTCAAAAATAAGGTGCCTGACTGGGCAGCCACAAAGTTCATGCAGTAAGCTGCATTTTGATGGAATAAAATACAAACCTGGATAAAATGGTTTGGAGTATCACAGCAAAGTGCGTTGACCTGGCCATTAACAATGGGTATGGCTTTGGCCATGGCTAGTTTGAGTCCACATGGGCTGCGAGCAAAAGAAAAATAAATTACTCAATGTCATCCAATATTACACATTATTATCTACACATGTATATAGGCTTCCAAGTGGTACAATAAATCAGTGTAATGAATATCTTTAGCGCAGTCCCCAGATGACTGACCAATATTGTTTTCGTATTGCTCAGTCATCAGGGAACTTCAACTATCGATATCTATATCGATATCCCACGAATACAAAGCCATATTTACTGAGGTAAGTCAAATGCTGTCTCACTATGACAATATTGGACTCGTCTCTGACTCGTTCAATATCGTCATAGCTCGAGCAATATATTCTTGTATCACACTCAAAACCATCCAATATTATATAAAGATCAGAGGAGACAAATGAAGATAGCATGGACAGTGTGTCCAACATTTATCAACACAACCAAATATAGTAATCATATTATATTTATAAAGCGCCTTTTCATTAGATATGAAAGCGCTTGAACAAGAAATACTTATAAAGTGACAGAACGTTATCATATGAAACTTACATTAATCAAACCCTTCAGTGACCTACCTTTCTCCATTTCGAGTTGTGACTGGTCTAAAGAACTCAGCCATGTTGTCCAGTAGACGGCTAAATCCGATATCAAGGCAAGAATTCATCACACAGCTAAAATCATGGCTGTAAGGGGGAAAGGAGCATAATGCAGGCTCAAAATTAGATTCCACATGAATGACAACAAAAGTGTCTGAGTGGAGAGTCTTGCCCCGCAGTTGACAAATTTCGAAGCTTGAGGGCGTGTGAAGAAATAAGTATTAAAGTCCAGAAAGCTGCTTATATTTTTATTATTAGAGCTAGAGGAGATGAAAGTTAAAACAAAACAAAACTAGATGGATCATCGACTGCACGCAGTCGAAAATGATGCTTCCGCCATAGAGCGATTTTACAAACCAAAACAGAAGCAATTTTTAAAATTCAATTTTGATTATAATCCATTGACAGGTTCTCAGAATATTGTGATTACAAGCTATTTTTCATATACATATATGCACTTTACCTTTCAACTAAATCCCTAGTCTCTATTTGCATCTGGCTCAGTACAAGCTGGTCATCGCTGAGCCGACATGCAGATTCCTCTCCATCTAGTCCCTCTGGCTTCAGGAGATACCTCCCCAGGGGGTGAATGGAACAGTCTGGTACTACCACTGTACAAGGAAACAGAAGTTACAAACAAGTATTCAATATGGATATTGGATAAAAGTTTCAGCACCCCCAAAATAATGTAGTTTGAAAAATGGTACCAGGAGATGAAGGAAAAATAAAAGAAAGTGGTAGGAAATAGGATAAAAGGCAGTACACCACATGAGAAAGTGGTAGCTAAAGAGACAGACATAAGAAAAGAGGGGAAAAAATAGGAGAGACAGACATATGACCCCATGCAAAAATAAAAAGAATATTAAGATGGGAAGAGAAGAAAGAACAAATAGGAAATAAACTGAAATGACATAGGAAAAAGAAAAGAGGAAATTTGGAGGGGAGACAGCGGGATGAAAACTAAATTAAAGAGGTAAAGATGATTATAAAGAGAGAGATGGATGTACAAAAAACAGAAAGAGAGACAGACAAAAAGACAGACAGACAGACATACAGAAGGTGAGACAGACAAGGGAGAGGAAATGTACAGACAGACAGCCAGAATGTGAGTCAGACAACCAGACAGACAGACAGACAGAGGGGGAGAAAATGTACAGACTACAGAGAGAAGGGGAGAGTAAGAGAGGCACAGCAAAACAAGTTCACTAACCTTCTCCTCCATACTGCGTACAGAGAAACAGAAAGACAGACAGACAGACAGAGAAACAGACATACATAAGGTAAGACAGACAGCAGGTAGGTGAGACAGACAGACAGAAAGAAAGAGAAACAGACAGAGGGAGAGGAAATGTACAGAGAGACAAGTCGACTAACCTTCTCCTCCATACTGCGTCGTTTCTACCTGACCTCTGACCTTTGCTATGATCTCCTCCATGTCTGACAGGCTTAGAAGCTGCTGTAATGATATGCTACAAAATAAAACATATAGTGAGAATTTTAAAATGTGTATATGACTGTTCCCACTGATAGAAGACCCTTGGTCCATAGTTACTTAGCTAATCTTTTTCTTTTCCCAACATCCATGTGACTCTTTTATAAATAATAATAATAATAATAATTGGATTTATATAACACTTTTTCCGAACGATACAAGGCGCTGCTCTCAATAATCTTGTATTGTATTCATGACTTTCTTTGTTTTTGCTGAATAAATAATAATAATAATAATCCATATGTGCACAATCATTAAAGAAAGGAATACAAAATCTATGATACTTTTTAATCCATTGCCTACTGGAACATGGTTGCCCCTGTATTAAGCCTATGGCAATGAATGCATTTAGTAGTCAATGGGTAAAGAAAAAATGTATTGCAGTGGTCTACACATACACAAGATAGCAGAAGAGGGTACATAATTTAGTCATAGGCCTTAGTGCTCCATCCATCCCCCCCCCCCCCCCAGAGATGGGAGGGGGTCCATATTTACCACATCTAGAGATATTTACTTTATTTAAATGTATATTTAGGCTTCAATAAAATGTATACTCATGTAAAGAAGACACTATCAATCTCTCAGCTGTTGAATGAGCAAAGAAGAAGAAACAAACAGACAAATTAAAAGACAAAGAATGATAATTCTCTAATCTTCTAGGGGGTAAAAGGGCCTTACCTTCCAACAACATTCTGGACAACTTCTTGAACATGATTTATGAGCTCAGTCAAACCTGAAAATACAATTTTAATGGAATAAGATGCTTATCATCATAAAACAATATTTTAAAGGTGCTGGATAATAAAAGCCATTTAACAATATGCATCAAGGGTTGAAAATTCAATATGAGAAAATAAACATAAGGAACTTCTCAAGAAGAATATTTCATCATTTAACTAGCACCCCAAAAAATGGCATAATTCTTTCTCACATTTCCTTCTTTGATAATGTTAGTTCAACATTGCCCCAAGGACTATACTGCCCTTCCGTGACAAAACAGCATAGCTGACATTTTTTACAAATTAGATTTTTTTAGTATGGGTGACTCAGAACATCAAATTACACATGTTAAACTAAAATTTAGCATTTCAAAAATACTGTAATTACTTATTTTGATAAGTCAACACTGAATAAAAACATTAAGACATTTTAAATAACAAATTGAAATGCATGTTTCTTCCTATATCTCAGAAACATTAAAATGTCAGTTATGCTGTTTTGTCGTGGAAGGGCAGTATACAACATTTACAAAGCTATAATTCACAATGCAATATTTGTATAGATTTACTTTGTTTGCTAATGATATTTTAAAGTAGGGCACAGAATATGCAATGTTGATATTATTATTATACAACATTGATAAAGCTATAATTCGCAATGTAATCCTTGTGACACATTTATTTTGTTTGGCAATAATAATTTATAGCAGGGCACAGACTATACAATCTCGACGTTACTATATATGATAAAAAACATGATACTTTGAACACATTAATTTGATCAGTATTTTATTTATAGATAACAACAGACTGTAAAAGACCTGATCATAAGATTGCAATGTTTCCAATCTGTGTTAAGCAAATAAGGAAAGCTTTGGGCATGACCATGACGAACTTTAATGTATCAACGCGATACTTGTAACCATTTTTACAAAACTCAAAAAGGCTGATCTTGCAATTGCCCCTTCTCTTTGTCGAGGGGGAAGAGAAAAAACAATATATCTACTCCAGACATACATGTAACTGTGAATCACCCTGATAATTAAATGGGATTGTGCCCCCCCCCCCCCCTCCCTCCAAACTCATTCACAAAGGATATAGGAGAGCATATAGTAGTAGTATATATCTGTAGTATATATATACATATTATGTATATATACTACAGACATTCCATGGGGTTGAGGGCAAAACATAAAACGTTGGTATGAGATCTTCTACTACACATGGAAGATGAGGTGGTCTTTCTATACAGGTGATCACTAAAGCAGGTTAGACTGTATAACAAAAACTGTAATTTATCACTGATGACAACTTTAATGAAACCAAGCCTTTTTTCAGTGACAATGACAAAAATCAGTGCCTAATCTGCTGATAACTAATGAGAAGCAGGGATTCCACTAGCTTATAACAAAAACTGTCATTTGTCACGGATGACAAGTTTTGTGAAACGGGGGCCCTGGTATGTCACAAAAGTTGTCCCCAGGCAATCCCATGGAATGACTGAAAAACCAAAGCCACACTCACCATCTGTAAGAAGGTATTGAACCATGGCAAGATATTCCTTCTGTACATCCTGCGTGGCATGTACCTGGTAATATGTCTGTGAGATTAACATAGTAGAAGAGAGAGAGAGAGAGAGAGAGAGAGCATCGTTATTTGAACAGAGTATTGAATATGCCTTTAAATATTTTTCATGAAATAAGGATTATTTGAGGTGATAAATCAAATATTGTAGCTTGAGAAGCTTTATGTTAGATTCTGTGACCATTTATTTTTCTATATTTACCACAACTCAAGTTTATCTTTAATCTCCCCATTCCATCTTGTTCTTACCAGGCCATTCTTTCCTATCAGCGTATCAAGATGTGTGTAACCTCCAAGAATGTTCAGCTGTACTCTCAAGGAGACTGTCAAAACACTGTAATCTACACTCCCTACAATGCTATTCTCTCACACTCACTCTTCCCTTACTACCCCACTCAACCCTGACCCTTAACCGTATTACCCCACCACACCCCATCTTGTTCTTACCAGGCCATTCTTCCCAGCCAGTGTATCCAGGTACATGTAACCTCCCAGAATGTTCAGCTGCACTCTCAGAAAGGCCGTCAGCAACACAGTACTGTACACAGAGACCACCATTCTTGTGAAACCTGAAATGTAAGTCCAGAAGGAAAATGCTTGAGCTCTCAAACACAGAGCCAACACAAAATCAAACATTTATAATTCTTAAAGAATGCTGAAGGCACCTTTCATGTATAAGTGCAATAAATATGCTTGAGTACTGCACAAGCAGAGAATCATAACATTGTGACAAAAGGAATTGTGAAATTAACTGAAACAAAAATTCATTGAATTAACTTAAACAGACAATTTTCAATTCGGTCAAGAGAAATGCCTTCCTGAATGCAAAAAAATATATTCCCTCAACAATTGGCCTAGGGTTAATTTCTTAGATTAGATGAATTCCTGCATTGTGACTTCAATCTTGGTTCTAAAAAAAAAAATCCAACTCTAAACCTATGATCTGAAACCAAAAGTGAACTTCATTTATCCGTTTATACTTACTGACAACTTTCAGCTCATTCCATACTACAACCTTGTTTTCAGTTCTGTCAGAAATGAAAGAGAGAAAGAGAGAGAGAGAGCATTAGTGTAGTTATTCTATAAAAAAAAAAGCATGATCCAGTATAAATGAAAGTTACAAACCTGTATTTTTACTTAAAGCAATACTCATGAAAATCTTCATTTGAACTACATTCCATAACTTCTTCTCTGACCAACAATGACAAGTAAACACCAAATTTAAATTTAAAACAGTCCCCCCAAAATGATCCATGGTACCTTTTGATGATCCATATGACTGATAACTAATCCTTACAATGAAAATCTTCTTTCTATGAGACATCACATATTTAAATTGTTAATGGTACATGTTATGTGATGGGCTGCTGGAAAATGTTTCGATCAATACTTATTCAATTTAATACTAAAGCCTTCTACATTCAGCCTCTCCCTTCTCTTCAACTGTCTTTCCTGTTCTTATCCTTAATTTTGTATTTCTATTTACATTGTCTTTTCCCCTTCTTCCTTGGATTTTTCTTCCTACATTAATCATGCTAATTATGTTTCACATTTACTATGCCAATTTGCGCATCATATTTTAATGTCCTCATAATATGCTGGTATATTATTATTACGTATTGTCATATGCATTTTGTATGAAGTAGCAAGCGAGACAGTGGCTGCCGGGCTCACAATCAATTGGGCAAAAAGAATTTCCATTTTCGGTTTAACTTAATAAAATTTGGAGTGGACTTTAAAGGATTATTATATATTATTATATTAAATAGAGCAACAAACAATTTCTCTAAATATCCAATACTATTTCTTACCCTGACTTCAGCTTCTGGATGAGCTCTTCAGAATTGAGATGGTAAAGAAGCAGCTCCCTCAGCTTAGGGATCATGGACAGCACTGAAAAAAAGTAATAACAGAAACAATGTAAATTAAATCACTTGCAAATTCATGCAATCTAATATACCAGTTTACCAACCAATAGACCATTTTCGTAATGTAACCAAATTAATACATAAGTCTTTGTGAAGTGCCTCAATACAAATTATTTCTTTCACCTGATAAGAATAATAGTATAGTATTAATGACTGCTTTGAGAGAAATAGTTGTTTTTATACGCTCAAGGGAAGGTTAGAATTGTGCTATTACCCGAGGCGTGCCGAGGGCAATAGCCCAATTGTAACCTTCCCGAGAGCGTATAAAAACAACTATTTCTCGAATATTAAAGCAGTCATTAATACTTTTATATGCCGAAAAAAAAATAGACTAAAAAATAAAAAATAAAAAAACTTTTGTCGAAGATGGGATTCAAACTCTTGCGTACAAAGGGTGATGTAACCAAAATCACCGCCTTAAACCTCTCGGCTATCGCGCTCTGTTTCCTCACTTAGCAGTTTTCTCTAATATATACATTAAAATGGATTGACAACGGCTTCGGTGGTGGATGCTTCGCGGCAGTTCCATTAAACGGGCCCTTCTTTTACTTTTGCAATGCATATTGGCACAAACTTAGATCAAGATCTATCGGCAGATGTTGTTTTTTTGTTTTTGGAACTTTATTTTCGTCTTCATGTCAACAATGCAAGATAAAATTTTCGGTAAGATCGATCGAGATTCAATAACCATGGTTATTGGGATTTTGAACTGTTTTAACCATGGTTACTGGGAATTTTCGGGAACAGTTAAAGTTTATGAATGCAATTTCGACCAATCAGATGGCTGGATTTCTTAAGTGAGGTATATAATAATCAATAGTCAGAGTGCAAACTGCATATATTAAGTGTTGCTAGGTAGGTCAAGCCATAATGTTTGTCCAACCTGGCAACAACTAATGTATGCGGTTTGGATTATGCCTATTGAAATACTTTTATTCCTACCAGGTGAATGAAATAATTTGTATTGAGGCACTTCACAAAGACTTGTGCATTAAATTTGGTTACATTACGAAAATGGCCTATGCTATTCAAATTTATGGACGTTTCTTTCTTGGGATGAAGGAATGATCTAAAGCTTATTTCCCATTGTTTTAATGGAAATGCATGTTAAGAAAATAGCTTTTCCAAAATTCAGATAACAATTCTCATGCTTAAAGTATGAATTATTGTACAAGAATAAAAGAAAAATCAAGTGGGCAAAATTTACTTTGATGATATTTCTACATCAGTCACACTACCAGACCACCAACAAGGTTGGCCATTTGGTGTATCAGTTTATGTGTCAGTCTGAGGTCAGTTAGAGGCCGGTCTAAAGGTCAGAGGTTGGTCTTGTCTGATTGGGATAGGGAAATATCACCTGTCATGTTGCAAGTTCGCTGGTTGCTCTCGAAATGGTGCGCTCTGCGAGCCATTGCGAGACATTCTGCTTCTTCTGTCTCTCTCCATTCCTTCAACTTCCACTCAGCATACTTGTAAAGGAGTGATGCACCTGGAGAAAGAAATTTAGTTTTGAATTCCAAATATTTCACTTTCCTCTTTCTATTAAATGAGTACATGTAATAGCATGAAAAAATGAATGGTTATCTTGATATAATTACTGAAGCTGGAGACTGGTTAACTGTTTGAAGCTGGTTAACTGTTTTTACCATCTTGTCTTTAAATTACATTCATTAATGTACCTATTTCTTTTTCCTTCAACTTCTTGTCTTCTCCACTTATAAATAGACTTTATCAATATCATTTTGTAACTTTTATTCAATTGTTATCTTTGTATATTTTTTAAGGAAAGTATTAAATAAAGTGAGCTGAACTGGACATAAAATTCTTATTACCGGTACTAATAATTTTGAAAACTAAAAAGACTCATTCTGACTAAATCAAGTTCCTTTTTTATCACCAGTTAAAGCTTATCAACACTAGTGTGGCTAGGACTCTGTAGGAGGGATTAGACCACACAGCGAGGTCACTCACAGGTGGCTATCTCATCAACTCAGGTCTCAGCTCTCAAATAACATAAGAAATAGAGGATCATGGGGGACCAACAGGCACCAATAGGGGAAGTTTTCTATATAGAGGGAGCAAGTAGCTACAAGTAGGACAGTGGGGCTTTAGGTCCACATGTCATCATTCTCAGACTCAGTGTCATCTCATCACAAATGGAATATAAATTGCAAATATTAATACTCCTCTTCCTCCTCTTCTTCTTCTTCTTCTTCTTCTTCTTCTTCTTCTTCTTATTCTTCTTCCTCCTCCTCCTCCTCCTCCTCCTCCTCCTCTTTTCCTCCTCCTCCTCCTCCTCCTCCTCCTCCTCAGTCTTTCTTCTTCTTCTTCTTCTTCTTCTTCTTCTTCTTCTTCTTCTTCTTCTTCTTCTTCTTCTTCTTCTTCTTCTTCTTCTTCTTCTTCTTCTTCTTCTTCTTCTTCTTCTTCTTCTTCTTCTTCTTCTTCTTCTTCTTCTTCTTCTTCTTCTTCTACATTTTATTTTGAATTCCTATTGCGGGATGTGTCACGTTGCAGATGAATATTTGATACATTGCAGATTTAACATGCGTATGATTGTTCGCCATGTTTACAACTCGCCCACACACAACGTGAGAGTCACTGACACAAAAACACACGGGTGGGAATATCATCACGCGCCAAACAAATAGATAATGAAAATATACCTCCTGCAACTGCACCAAGAACCAAGAATTTTCTTCTATGGCGTTTCACGAAGTTCCAAATGCTCCCCAGCATTTTTCTTCAGATGTGCCTTCTCTCAAACTTCAAAGGTTCAGAAATGTTTCCAGCTCCGAATTTAAAATCGCGTGAACAGTATGTAAACAACAGACGGAATTTAGACCCTTGATCGGAATCGTCCACTATTTCGCCCCCTGCCCCCGAGAGACACGGTACAACGGTTCTCGATACAAGATGGGAAAGGAGAACCTTAGTTAGTGAATTAAACAATAACAACAAATGTGTGCATATAATATACACACATTTTTGCTTCAATCCTAATTCTTCTTAATCATCTAGAATGGCATGTGGGATAACAGTAATGATTTTTCTGAATAATTTTGTTTTTGATATATATATATATAAGGCTAACATTGTCTCCTACTTAAGACTTACGATCCTCCTTCGTGTTTTCATCTTTTTGGCCCGCCTCAATAGTATATGTTTTTACATTTAATATGTTTGTTTTTAGAATGAACATATATGAATTTTAGGACATCTAGATAATAAGAAAGTAGGGATTTTAAATATACTGCAACTGACATTGTGGAGTGAGAGGCACTGTTACGTTTTGATTGGTTTGCTAGTTATCTCAGTTTCCAGTAGAAGGCAATAGACATGCTATAACTTTATTAACTCCGTCATGTCTCTCTTGAAGTGTGATGTACCGCTATTATTTATTAAATATGTATCAATGAGATTTGAAATGTGTCAAATATTTGAGTTAATTATTTGCTGACAACACAAATGTTTTCTTATCTCATTGTGATATTCATATCCTTGAAAACTAAATCAATAGGGAACTACCAAAATAAGCCGATTGGTTTCGAAGTTAATATCATGTTATCATATCATATAACATGATGAACAATGCAGAAATGAATAAATAAATTAATTTCACCTTGTTTTGAGGCCCTTGATTGCATGACTTTGTATAGATTAAATGCAGTGTTGAAAGTGACAGAGCATTTGTATGTCAAGATGTTTGCTTGATGATTTGCTGAAGCTTGAAAGTAAGCAATTAAGGGAAGGACGGCTTTAAGTCCTCCCTGAGGGACTTAGTGGTAATGAGGATTAAAGCCTTACTAAAGTGTACGAAAGCATTGACTTGGTTTCGAACCCGGGACCTCTCGACAATGAGACCACTGTTCTACCGATGAGATGGTCGATCCTAGTAGATCTACGAAGAAGTATTAACATGGAGCCCCTTAATTTCTCCTCATTTTCGAATTTCATCAGTTCAACTTACAAGTAAAGAAAGAAACATCTCACATAATTTTATGAGTACAATCATGTCCATTTTTCAAATTTTCATTTTATTGTAATCAAATTCACAAACTCATACACCTCCTAAAGTAAACAAACATAAGAGAATCTTTCTGAACACAAGTATTTAGTAATAAATTTGATGACAGCATTTAGTAATAAATTTGATGAAAGCATTTGCCCATAATGTTAAATTTTATTTATCAAATTAACGGAAGGGCATCGATGGAAGAGTCTAAAACACCAATTGAAATTTCCCTTGAAGTTGTATGGAAGAGAATATTAATGACTTTAGAATCAGATGTAGAAAACCGAATGATTTGTTCTCCTATATCTGAATAAAAGCCCCATTGTTCACTGTCATGTCTGTTGCCGTAGATGGGGCTCTTCCTAAAATGAGATCAGTCCCTTTGAACGGTATGAAACGCTACCGAGTTTATGCAACCTTTTCACTCGTTTCTGATTTTCAAGAAGGCATATGTCATTATTGAAGCATGTCGTTTCGCAAAAGATAAATCCATTCGAATTGTGTAGAAGTCATTGAATATTCCAACGACAAGCATTATTTCATGATAATAGAAAGAATTCGACAATGATCTTACAATCTTCTATCAGGTGGTAAACAAGATTTGTGCAGTTGCACAGATTACAGCTGTACATCGAGATAGATATCGTCGCTACACAGAGCTCCTTCGGTGAGTCTCCGTTCTATCTTTCCCGGTTTAGATCTGATCTTCACTTCTTTCTTGATAAGATTCTTTTTTTCGTCATGGATAAAGTCCTCACCAAAAATGTCCATTTCGATTCCAGTATCGGCGCAGTTGTTGGTATTTCTGTCTACTTCCTGAGCTAATCCACTGTCACTGAGAACATAGTGGCTCTCTAATTTTGTTTTGCTTGAACGCAGAATCCTAGATGACCCATTGTTTAGTGTTTCGCGACCACCTTTGATCTGCGTTTCGTCATTGACTCGTACGCTACAACGTGGGTGCCTTTCGCCAGCTCTACGCCTTTCCAGTTCGCGCGCGCCTCGTATGATAACGCGGTCGTAACTTTGTGATCCGTCGCTATCGGCTCCACTGAAGGTCGTCGTCGCGTGAACACCCTGGTCGTGAGCGTCCGTTCCGGAGTCGCTATCGTCGTCGGTGCCGAGCAAATAATCGACGACGGGCATGATCTTTCCAGAAGTTTGATTAAACAGTGTACTCAGGCTTCCCATCACGCACGAGATCCTGTTCCCGATGTACTCGGTGCTCAGCTTGTTCATGTTGCGTGGATCCGCCCGCCACACGGCCTCTGCCTCCCGCTGTCCCGCCAGCGTCTCCACCAGGATGATCTCGAACAGTTCCGTCATCTTCTCCGACTTCAACGGCGGGTCGGCCCTGAGGACGCAGTCGCGGAACTCTGCCATCACCTTCCTGGAGCTCTTGTAGTGGAGCTCCCCGCAAAGCTGTTCCAGCTTTAGCCGCTTTCCCAGATGTTCCTTCAAAAAAGTATTCGACTTCCCTGAATCCATGAGAGAGGTGAAGGCCTGAAATTGAGATGGCTGAAAGAGAAATATTGAGGTACATGTAATTCATTAGTTTGATGATAAAGTAGTTTTCGAAATAGTAAACGAGCAACTAGGCAAAGCTTTAATTGTTCGGATTAAATGGAAACAAGACACGGACATGCTATGGATTAGTTTGGAAATTTTCCCACAAAGGCCGTCAATATTTTTGCTAGAGGCTGGTCAAATTAAAATTCTCCAACCGACATGACGGAATTTCAGGTCGAGTTGCCCCTGAATGGGGATCAAGTGTTGAGAAGTCTAGCAAACCTATAAAGATTTAAGTTCTTTTTGAAAAGTGGGGGAAAACCGCGTTTTCACATTTTCATCTCTGTTAGATGCATTTGGAGGAGATCGTCACCCAAAGTTCGTTTTTACCCTTCCATGTTGCCGATAACAGGATGTTTTGTATATCTTAATAAAGATGGGATCGTACTCGATGAAAAAAATGGACAAAACAATGCATTTTCGTTTTAGCACGAACTACCAAAACAGTGAATACAAACCTTTATCCCTTCGTCACCGAGACTCAGATCGCAAGCAGAGTTTATCGACGTCTTATCATTCGTGTGATCGCCGTTCAGGTAGGCTTCGAACTCCCACATCATCATTCGGACCTGGAAACGAGTGAAGGTCAAGAGAGAAAGGACAGTACGGATGATTAATTCGAGAAGGAGATGCGTTCGTGTTAACCTCAATACATCAACACACCCAGGCGTTTGTGTCCGGAGAGGTTGTGTATCCAGACAATTGATTTAAAACATAAATTTGAGTTAACAAGTTAACAAGCAATACTTTATCAATCTTCTAAGAGTAAGACGTATGTTGGAAATATAATAAGGTACAATATATTTATGATGATTGGTGCCATTGCATGACTTTTTTCGAATGATATATGTTTGTATATACATGTAGTGTTCGGGCACCCCGCTCCCACCTTATCATACATGGCATGGTTATATAGCTGATCGAATATTCAATTGTTAAAAAAAAGAGCATATTTTGTGATAAAATGTGCAATATGAAGAGCGAGCAAAGACGCTAAGCTATGATGAAGATGGGAATCAATTCTGCATCTTTTATATGTTTATACTTTTTACTGTCTTTATGATCAACACCATCATCATCATCACCATCAATATCATCATAAATTCATAGCTCTTTGTTTTATTATCACCCTTTATCGTCACAATCAAATCATCACCATCATCATTATCTTTATCAAGCATTATCATCCTCATCATATCATTATCGCCATCATCGTAATGGAAAACTCTTCTTCGGAGTATTTAGGAGGAAAAGAATCCAAGATCCAAGATCATCGTCATTATCATTATCATTATCGCCATCATCATCATCATCATCATCACCATCATCATCATCATCATCATCATCATCATTTGATCATCTTCGCCATCACCACCACCATCATCATTACCATCATCATCATCATCATCACCATCATCATCATCATCATCACCATCATCACCATCATCATCATCACCATCATCACCATCATCATCATCACCATCATCATCATCATCATCATCATCATCATCTTCGCCATCACCACCACCATCATCATTACCAATCCATCAGCATTATCGGTAACTAAGGTATAGCATATGGCCCAAAGTGTTCAACATATCGCATGCAAACGATTTGTCGACACAAACACCAAAAGCTTAGACATTACAATAACTCAAACTGTACCTGAAGATCTGAAATGGTTTTTCTGCCCATGCTCCCGGAGTCTGTGGACTGTCTAGAAGCCAGCTCTTCGCTCTCTCCCATCTTCATAAGAAAGCCGAACGGGTTCGCAGTGAAAAGCGACGCCATCGAGGTTCCTGACTGTCCAAGATACTCAGTAATATGATGCATTTCTAACTTTTCTTTGAAATTAACGAAAAGTTTTTCATTTAGACTCTATCCCCGTTTTATTGGAAAGGATACCCTTGATAAATGAATGGGCGGGAAAACAAAAAGTATCAATAAAACACATGTGCGCGCATAATATACTGCGTCCACATGTTGCTATGGGCAATCATTTCTTTGATGCGTCTTTTTATGACGTGAGCTGCGCCAGTGCGCATGCCCCTCTGGGTGTGTTAAGAAACGCATTATGACGTCACAATTAAAGAGTAAATGCATTTTAATTTAGTTTGTTGATAATGATATGATACCCAACTTCAATCTTACGTTTGCTAATTATTGTTGAGGTTCAAAATGATAATTTTCAGTCATGGTGTATCGTTCGTTTTGCGAAACAAAATAGTAAATAACTTTCTCTTAGCGTATAAACAAAAATGCGCTATAATACGGGAAAGACTAAAATCACGACTCCAATTTCGACCAATCAGATGGCTAAATTTCTAAAGAGAGGTATATAATACCTACTACGATAGATTGGGTGCACACTCAAAATTCTTATCTGAATTTTGGCAATTGAAAGAAGTAGGCGACACATATGTCTCCCTCTGTCGGTCTACGACTGTCTTTATCTTTCAAAATGTTGGACAATTTTCGCCCCATCAAAATGTGTTTTTACCCCCCCCCCCCCTTCTTAAAAATGGCATAGCGATGCTTCTGAGCTAAATGAACGCCAACGCTTGTTCTCAAACGACCCTGCCCCTTTTACTCTCTCGTTGTTCACCGTTCTCTCTTATTCTTTCATTCTATCTCTCAGAATCAAGATGAAATTTCTTCCGGCATTCCCTCACTCTCGCCTTTTTTTCTCTCTCTCCATTTTTCCTTTCGCTCATCCCTTCTTAGAATATTGGTATAACTTATTTATTTAACAGTCTCTCGTCACCTCCTCCTCTCTCTCCCTCTCTCTCTCTCTCTCTATTTTATCCCTTGCTTTCTTTCTTGTTTCATCTCCTCTCATAACATGTGTGTACAATACTACATGTACAGTACTTCTACGTTGATTCTTGGTAACCCATTCTGGTATTTGGCCAAGTCTAAAACTTCTCCCTTTCGGGCCCTCAACCCCCCCCCCCCCTCTCTCTCTCTCTCTCTCTCTCCTCCATTTCCCTTTTCTTTCTACCCCTCTGTATTTCTCTGCCCCCACATTTCTCCTTCATTGTCTCTTAAAAGTTTGAAATACTTTGAACTACCATTGCATCATTTTCCCCCTTTTACCATTCTCGTGACATTAGATTTACATTTATGTCACTTTCTTTCCTTACATTCTGTAAAAAAAATAGATTAGACTTATGATATATTAAATTAATTGAATAATAACTGCTTTGTTTGATGATACATGTATTTAATTGATGACAAGTTTATAAAAGTTGAACACATTTTACAAAAATAATTTCTTCGTCATATTTTTCAGGGAATGATCTGGGCTTTACTCAAACAATATTGTTGTCCGTTAAAATTATGGAGTAGATTTTGTTTTGACTGAAGTCACTTTACGTTTTACACATAACTTTTAAAATCACAATTACAGCAATTCATAGCAAAGTTTGCAAATTACATAATCTAAATAATTTTCTGTCCACAGGAATTAGAGAATGTAGAATCAGATTCTATATATATATATATATAATATATATATGCAAATTCCTAATCATGTAAGCAGGTAACTTTCAAAACCAACAAAGATTTTACCATTTTCAAAATTCTTTGTCATTTCATATTTCTCCTAAAATAATTGTTGTTTTTCTTCAAGTTTCCAAAAAAAAAAAAACCCAAACCTGATATTTCTTACATACACTGTATCGTAATGAAATGAAAAACTTGCTCTATTGGAAGAGCACTTATTCCAATGTTTTTACAAGGCAAGTAGGAAAATGTTACTTCTCTTCATTGTTTCACAAAAAGTTGAAAAATAACATTTAGCATGAAAGGAAAATGGAATTTCAGTAGGACCTACTGACATTTTTTCATGAAACATGATACAAATGAGCTGTATAAAAAACAATAATTAGTAGATTTTACATGTAAATATGTATCACATTATAACATCTAATGTAATCTAGGTAATATACTACCAACCGATGATTTTTTTTTTTTAATTGAACATACATTTACAAATATGGGAAACAGTTTACCTACAGATTTATGAAATATGTTATTAAAACAAAGCAAAGACAAATACATGTCTATAATTTCTAACAAGACTGATCGAGTAACCTTGCTTTAGACAACTTCATAGAGTATTTCTTTTTCCTCAACTAAAGCATTAATTAATCAATGCATGTGATCATTGCGACAAAAAGATTTTTTAATATTATACTGTATATTAAAAAAAAGTTTGAATAAAGAAATGTCTCAAAATATAGGAAGGGAATTTTGCTTACAAGTACATGTATAACATCAATTGTTAAGCCTTTAGACTTACCACATTCAAGATATAAACTACATAAACCCATCAATGACCTACAATATATTATCAGGTCATTGTTACTACATAGTACACACTATCATATTCCAGTAGCAAAAAAAAACAGCAAGTTAAAAAATATCTTCCATTTCTCAAAGTATTGCTTTTTAGAACCTGATGTCTCTCTTACTTGATCATTCTTAGACCGTAGCGTAGCATCATCAACAGACTGGAATGATACAAAATGACAAGAGAACCTTTAAAACATCTTGTACAGAGAGCTTAAAGCCCAAGTCCACTCGAAAAATAACTTACTTTCAATAGAACCAGAAAAATCAGACAAACCAATAAAAAAAAGTTTGAGCTAAATCGGATAACTAATAAGAAAGTTATGAATTTTTAATGACATGAAAAACTTTGAAAATCACTACACAAATTGGCAACTCACTCATGAATCTGTGACGTATGGTCCTCACTATCCACTAATTATTTTCTGTATATTGATAATATAAATTGTCTATTTTTACCCTAAGAATCTTATTTCTTCACACCAGCATCCAAGTTAGATTGTTAGTAATATGTGTTTGTGTGGATGCACAAATAACTTAGAGTAATTTTTGTCCAGTTAAATCATGAAAAAATTGAATTTTAATAAACTATTTATATAAAAATCAATAATTATGAAATACAATATTCAGAAAATAGTATCAATTCTTCAAAATTCATAAAAGTTTTGGGAAATGTCATGCACACAATATGATACAAATCATATAACCTGGGCAAAGGTATGGGGAAATCAAGTTTTGGGGGATAAAAGGGAAATTAATGGGATTAAACTATGTAAAGCAATTGATATTAAAGTTGTGAGGACATGACGTCACAAACTGATAACCATCTTGGCAATTTGTGTTGTGATTCTCATTGTTTCATAGTTTTACATACTTTTTCAAAAATTCATAACTTTCTTATTAGTTATCCGATTTTGCTCAAACTTTTTTTGGATTGGTTTGTCTGATTTTTCTGCTCTAATTGAAAGTAACTTTTTTTTCGAGTGGACTTGTCCTTTAAGAGGGCAAAGACAAAGAACATCTTGTCTTGCATATGATTTATTGAGTTTGTTATTACAATTTTGATAAATTGGTGAAATGAATGATTCTGTGGGTCACATGCAAGGTATCTGTGGAAAACAGGCTGCATATATCATTCAAATTTGCACCAATACAAGAGAAATATCCAAATGATTAAAGTATACAGTTGGGATCATTACTTTAAAAAAAAAATTCTTATTCTACTTCAACATTTTCTGTCATTTGGATATTACACCCCTTTCCACTTGTCAAATCAAATCAATTTAATTCAATCAAGGTTTGTTAAAACATGACTGTCAATCATAGACGGAATTGTATTTTAACAGTGTAAGTAAAATACAATATTTCTACAAATTGCAACAACACAAAAACATGCAAATTAGAATGCAAAGTCACATAAAATATATAACATTCATACAATTGAAGAAAGAAAAAGCATTCAAAAGACTGTGTTAAAGATACTATGTCCCTTTTGCAGCCAACATCGAATTCTGTAGAACTTTGCAGGAATTATGAATATGTCATATATGTCCTATCTGTGAAATTTACATTAGCTGTCTCCTAGTATTCAAATTTTGCAATGAAACCGTTTACTTGCTAGACTTCACTGTCAGACACGATTGAGTGACTGACTGGAATTTTTTCTTCTTTGGTAATAACATACATAAAATGAGCTGTAAAGGGTACATGAGCATTTGTCTACATCAATAACCCACTTCTTTTAATGGCTAAAATTAAACTGATTGACTCTTTGGGCAGCATAAAACGTATGACCATTCGGTACAATGGTCTGAAAATCAGACTATGACTTACTGGCTCTGTAGCTCTTCAGTCGATTTGACAACTAAAAGTCATTATTTTTCCACTGAAGGACATTTTCAAGCCCCCCTTTTTCTAGGGAGTTCTAAATTAGTATTATCTTTCAAATGACGTTGGAATTTAACCTTTTCATTTTTTTGGCCTGCAAATGGGACATACCGTAGTACCTTTAAAAGCATTATCACAAATCTACTTGAATGCTAAACCTCAGGAAACTAAATTCAAATAAGTTTGCTTTGTGTGAACTCACCTCAATGCTGCCACTAGTCCAGCAGGCATGAATTTGCCACTGTTAGAAAATCTGTAACCCATGACACCTGTTAACACCACAGATGTTCCTGAAATTAGAAAACAATAAAGGTCTTTCATTGATTATCAAGGTCTATTTGGCAGATCATCATGTACAGTCCACTGTATTTGTAGTTTTGAACATGCAGCAGCAGTTCCATTTGATTCTGAGTAACCTCCCCCCCCCCCCCCCCCCCCAAAAAAAAAAAAATAAATAAATAAATAAATAAATAAATAAAAATAAATAAATAAAAATAAATAAATAAATTATATATACAAATCCTGGATCCACTCCTACATTACTATGAAAACTCAAATCATATTTAAATTTTAAATGCATTTTTCAGACTCTTCTCTTCATAAAAATCCCATATACGTTCAAACCTGCTTCAGTGATCACCTGTGGCTAGAGAAAGACCACCTGTCTATAAAGACCATATCTTTCATTTCCCATGAAAATAATTTCTCATTGAAACATGTATAAAGGAACCTGTACATACAGACCACCTTTCTATAAAGACATTTTTCATTTAAACATGTACTAAAGGAAGCTGTACCTGTACATACCATTTTCCTATAAAGACCACTTTTATTGTCTCCCTTGATCAGTTTTATTTACACTTTTTTTCGCTTTACATTATTTTGTATACAAAGAGTGAAACAAAGTTTAGAAATTCAATGACAAGTGATTGAAAGACAAAAAGCCAAAACAAAGTAATTGGGAAAAGGAGGAACACAGCAAGAAGCAAATGATGGGAGACACAAAGAAAAATGTATGTAAAAGATTATGGAACAAAGGCTCTTCATTTCTTTAATAATCAAATACTGTTTCATACGGTACTTACCAAAGATGACAAAGAAGTCGTTTGGATTTTTAGATGTGAGGGATGCACCGTAGCCTGCCATAGCTCCAAACAGAAGACCAGACGCGAGGGACATGGTGCTACCTAAAAATTAAAAAAAAAATTATCACCTAGGGCTTTCAGTAGAGTGAATCTCTCATTTAATATCACAGCATTGTCAGAATTAGAAATCTAGACAAAATCAGACCCTAACTAGTCACTACACTGATATAATTTCAAATAAATATTATATTCTCATCTGAATTGCTTTTTTTTATAAGTTTAAGAGTAATCCAACCCTTGTAATAAGTTCATTCCTATGAAAGAAAACAAATATAACAGAATAGAAAAAGCTTGAAATAAATTGGGCCAATACAAAAAAAGGTTATGAGTGTTTGAAATGTGAGATCATTTAAAGATAAAGACCAGTTATGGTCATGCGATTGCATTGTGAAAGAAACATTGTGGAATCGATCAGAAAAGGTTGATCATCTAGCATAGTATTGGTGTGTACTGTAAGGTTCTGGAATCATCAAAATGATAAGAAATTTGGCCCAGTCTTCGTAAAGTTACAAGCACTGTACACAAAAAGATGTATATGGGACTATGCACACGTGCGCGAAATTTATCTCTCACACACCAATAGATAAACTAATTTACCAAATATATCAATTAGTAGGCGGTGTCCCGGCAAATTGTTATCATCATGTATTAGTCAAAACATACTCTTTCACATGATTGGTAATAAGACTAGCTTCCATTTCATTTTTTGAAGTTGGGGCGTTTCCAATACATGTAACATTGTCAGAATTGGAAATCTAAACAAATTCAGACCCTCACTACACAGAAGTACAGTGTAATTGCAAATGAATATCAAATTCTCATCTGAATTTTTTAATTCAATTTAAGGGTAACCCATTCTAAGTTCATTTGTATGAAAGCACAAATAATAAAACAGACTGGAAAAATCTTATTGAACCAAAACAAAAAAAGGTTGAGTGTTTGAAATATGAGATCATTTAATCTATGCATGTGGACAGTAAATTAGCAATTTGGTCAAAGAATTGTGACGTATTTATTATGTTTATGGACAACTCTCCCATTTGTTGTGTAAAAAAAAAATCACAAATTGGGACACTAATAAAAATATATTGTGGGTAGCATATTTTTGAAGGTAAAATGAATAGACTTTAACCCGAATACATTTTGAAAAATTGCAATTTTAGTCATTTTGTGTTACATGGGAAAGTTGCCCGGCACTTTGTCACATGCACAGTGGCCCTGCCGGTCCAGCCAATGTGGAGCACTCATGACCACATCCATATGTACAATGTTTGTAGTAATTACAACTTTTAAAAAATTCAGTACTAGTCTATACTATTTTTTGTCCGAGTTCATTCACACTTTCACCAGTCTGCTTCTCTGATTTTCAGTTTTAGGTTTATAGTCTAGATCTAGGTGTTTATCATTCTTCCATAATTTAGTAGCTTATCATCAAGGTTGGATTTGTTTTCTTCATGCAGCAACAATGGCATGCCAATCATGAATCAATGCCAAAGTCTATCTATTCTATTTCTACTAAATTTCTAGTTAGTTCTAGAGTCTAGTCTAGATCTACTTTAAGTCTAAGTAATCTAGATCTAGACTAGAGTACTATTCTATTCATGCGAGTGTACTAAAAAGATTGACATAGTTTAAGGTAAAATACATCGACACTTTTATTATAATTCTTGGCCAGCAAAGTTCATTCAGGAGTGGTTCGGTAAGGATGTAATTTCAATGAATAATGTTCCGAGTCAGAGGCCGAGGCCCGCGCGCAGACGGATGACGGGCCTAGATGGAGCTGGGCTGAGCTGAGCTGGGCTTGCGCTCCCCTGGCGCTGCCCTGGCGTGGGGACGCTCTGCAGCTGCACTAGCACTGCACCGCAGCCAGGCCAGTCCCACGGTCCACATACAATGCCAGCCTTTGTCTTGAATTTAAGTAATGAAATATCTGATAAAATGAAAAGTAAACATTACCTGCTTTCAGATATCCCATAGCTCCACCGATGGCGATGAGAGCCGCATATCCAAAACCAAGAATATCAGTCATGACTTGAATTTTTGTTGAAACTTTTGGGTTCAATGTTATGTTTACGTATAGGTCTACGTAGTAGTACGGTACGTGCGCTACTAATGTTTATTTTAGCCTATTTTCCAGGCAATATAGGTCCTTTTCTTCTTATTAAAAGATAGATGTATAAAATTGGATCTAAGAAGTAATTTAAATAATTAAATTGATGTAATGAACAAATTCAAATTTTCTAAAGTATTTTATTTTTTATTCAATTCTTTACTCAAATGACAGGAAAATATATTCTCCTGAATTTAGGCTGAAGTTTTTTTCTACTATGGAACGCTAATTACTATTATTTTGAATAATTTATTTTATACCCCACTAGAGTTATATATTTTTACTAGTTGAAATATCATGTGATTTTTATTAATTTTAGATAATATATATGTATATTTAATGTAAATAACTTGAATATTTACATGTAGGCCTACTGTATTGGAAATTGTTTCAAGTCAATATATTTCTGATGTATATTTTGTCTAGGCCTAGCCCTATAATCTATATTGTTTTACATTTATTTTGACCCATGGCCATGCATGGCGTGAAAGTAATTCTACAACTAAAATGGTGTAAATTAAAAAAGGCAGTTTCTGATTAAGCAAGTAATATTGGAAATAAAATTGTCTTAAAAGTTGTCGGATTAGTGAGTAAGCATTTTATAGTCTTCCCCGTGTTAGGCAGTAAAAGAAGAAATACCAGCATGTTTTATATTATACCAGTAATAATTCCATTCTGGCTACATGTCTTCCGGCCCCGCTGCTGTGCCACCCTTCTTTCTCTCTCTCTCTCTCTCTCTCTCTCCCCCTTTTTCTCCCTCTCTCCCTCTCCCAATCTCTCACTCTCTCTCTCCCTTCTCTCTCCCTCCCTCTCTCACTCCAGTCTCTTTCTGATTATCTCAATCTCTACCTCCCTCCGCCCCTTTTTTTTCTCTCTCTTTCCTTCCCCCTCTCTCTCACTCTCTCTCTATCTCTCTCCTTTTCCCTCTCTTTCTCTCTTCCTCTCTAGCTGCCCTATCTCATTTTCTCCGTCCCCCGCTCTCATTCCTTATCTTTTCATCACTTGCATTTTCCACCCCCCCTTCTCTCTCTCTCTCTCTCTCTCTCTCTCCTTCATTAAATCTTACATTATATATCCATCAATCTATCTATTTATCAGTCTATCTATGTAAATTATCTTATCAATATTTTTCTTTCTCTGCCCCTCAGTGTCACCTTTCTCGCGATCAGTCTTTATTCGTTAATTAGACACACACCCCCGGTCTCTCTCTCTCTCTCTCTTTCTCTCTCTCTCTCAGTCTCTCTCTCTCTCTCTCTCTCTCTCTCTCTCTCTCTCATCCCAATTTGTTCGTCCCCATATGATACTCTCATTTTCTTCTTTTATTAATCTGCATCCACCCCCCCCCCCCCCTCCAATACGACGAATATCAATTTTCGCTTTACTCAGTCATACAATTTCGTTCGTAGGCCTAAAATGAGGCCAACTTCATTACAAAAATATTCCTATATTTTTTCAACATTATTGCAAACAATTTCGTTGTATGAAAAACTTTAGAAGACCCACAACACAAAATCTGAGGTTCATATACACAAACTTTATCCGTTACAAAAATAGGCAAAGCTACTTTACAAGAGCTAGAGTATAACGCACAGAGTGTGATATAGGATAACTATCTGATAACTAGAAGCTATGTGATTTCAATTCATTTAATAATATAAGATGTTTTTAAAGGATTCTTTGGTATATAGATTTCTATTCAAAATTTCTCTAACGCAGATAATTCAACTGACAGATTACCGCCCATCGCTATATTTGTTTAAATCTACTGAAAATATCCATTTCTAAACAGCTGCATTTGTTATTTACATTACCTTTAATGGTTTCATATGAATATAATTCCACGAATTTGTAATGCCCTCGACATGAATGATTCTGTCAATATACGGCGATTAATATGAACCCTGTACGTTCATTTAGAATAATAAACGTATTTAAACCATTCAATATTTTTGAAATATGCATCATGCATAGTTCTAAAAATTGAATTGAGTTCTGAGTGTCAATGACAAGTTCATTGTCACACAGTTTGTCACTATGTGTCAGTCACAGGTTGAGTGTCCCACAGTGTGTCTCTGAGTGTCAGTGACAGGTTGAGTGTCACACAGTGTGTCTCTGAGTGCCAATGCCTTGTTGAGTGTCACACAGTGTGTCTCTGAGTGTCACACAGTATGTCTCTGAGTGCCAATGACAGGTTGAGTGTCACACAGTATGTCTCTGAGTGTCAATAACGGGTTGAGTGTCACGCAGTGTGTCTCTGAGTGCCAATGACAGGTTGAGTGTCACACAGTGTGTCTCTGAGTGTCAATGACAGGTTGAGTGTCACACAGTGTGTCTCTGAGTGCCAATGACAGGTTGAGTGTCACACAGTGTGTCTCTGAGTGTCACACAGTGTGTCTCTGAGTGCCAATGACAGGTTGAGTGTCACACAGTATGTCTCTGAGTGCCAATGACAGGTTGAGTGTCACACAGTGTGTCTCTGAGTGTCAGTGACATGTTGAGTGTCACACGGTGTGTCTCTGAGTGTCACACAGTATGTCTCTGAGTGCCAATGACAGGTTGAGTGTCACACATTGTGTCTCTGAGTGCCAATGAAAAGTTGAATGTCACACAGTGTGTCTCTGAGTGTCACACAGTATGTTTCTGAGAGCCAATGCCAGGTCGAGTGTCACACAGCGTGTCTCTGAGTGTCAGTCACAGGTTGAGTGTCACACAATGTGTCTCTGATTGTTACACAGGTTGTCTAACAGAGTATAACAGTGCGATACAATGAGTTACAGTTCAAACATTCTGAAAAATAGACGTGAATGTGTCAGCGTGTCATAACTAGCGTGAAACACAGTGTGAAATAATGTAGGCACAGTATTTTGATATAGTCACCAGAGTGTTTTCAAATAGTCACTCTATTAACATGTTTCTTCTCTGTAATAGGGCTTGCTTATGGAATATCCTCCATTTCGAGGGCGCGCTGTTCTTCTATTCAGTCCAGAGTTGAATGTTGAAGGATGTCATAGTCGTCTGAACTCGATAGTTTTTGAGCGACTAGAGCTGGCTCAGAGTTCCTTGATGCCTTATCCACTACAGCATATTCTACTTCTGACGGTCGTAAGCCCCTCGGCATCGTGGAAGAGGGTTTCCTATTTTTAATATCTACAGGTTTGATTGTATCGAGTGCTTTCTTGTCGTTACATTCTTCATCAAGGGATGAATACTTGCGCAGTTGTCCTCGAGGAGACATCTGGGACAAAATGGAAGACACGGATATCCTTGGAGTGGTCTTCGAGCTCTTTTCTGTTCCATTTACATTTACGTAACTTGGGCTGCTCGCGCTCCCTTCAGAAGAAAGTGAAAGGTCTTTGGCGGAGCATTTCTTGCTCTTTGCTATCAGGAGTTTCTTGTGATCTACATAGGAGTATGAATGGTCCATGTTGTTGACAACATCTTCTGTCTCAAAAGTGTCATCATTTGCGAAATCATACTTGAATTGCATATCACTTTCGTTCCCAATGGTGGCGTAGTCTGCATAAAGAACAGATGGAAAGGGGACACTCTCAATCCTTGGCCTTCTCCTGGAATCTGGAAGTGTTTTGGATTGCGTTCGTCCTTCGAAATAAACACTATCGTAATCACCATTCCGCGAGTTACCGGCCCTAAGTTGCGGTTCTTGGCTAATTCTGGCAATGGCTGGCAAAGTTCTAAACTGGTTTTGTTTATCTCCTGGTATATCGCTCGGGAGACACGACGTTCTACTCTTGAAGTCTAGATCTGATACCGTGGCATAGTCTCCACTTTCTAAACGGCCGCCATTTTGACATTCGTCTGTCCCGGTGTCAAGTTGATTCTCGTGAAATTCCATCTGCGATAGGTGCGGGAACACGCTTGCGTATTCCCGAGAAACTGGTGATCTTATCTTACCACGTTTCTCCCTTGTTTTAGCCAAAGTGGAGGATTGCTCAAGCTTTTTATCTTGAATTTCAGTTGCTCCACCCCCAATCTCGCAATACGATGCCTGATGAACTGGGGAATACACTCCAGCATCAAACTCGAATCCGTGTTTAAAAGGGCAAAGACCTGTCCCTGAGATGTATATTCCAGACTTGTGTGGCTCATCGTACAGTTCTTGTCCTAGGACACCTTCGACAGGCTGTCCTACAACCCGACTTGCCATAGGTACTGCATTTCCACCCGACTCATTGCTTGTTTCAAACCCTGACGCATCGCTGTACGTTGCCTCCTCGCTTGCGTCCCCGATGTCGCCGCTCTTGGTCGTAGCGATCGTAGCGAAGCTACCTTCTTTCTTTAGGCCTGCGTTGAGAGACGCGTACTCGTCCTCGTTTCGTCGTTGCATCTCCTTGAAAGTCAGTCCTAAATAGGTGGAGAAATCACTTCGTTCTCCGCCTCCGCCTCCTCCTCCGCCGAAGGTGCTTTCAAACTCACTCTCAGAGACATGAGAGAGTCCGCTGTAGACGGCTGAGTCCCCGATAGAATTCATAGGATCTAGGTAGGTGGTGTCCATGACGATCTCCACCGAGGAGGACAATGCGTAAGGAGATGGGTCCTCCATGATTGATGCCTTTTTACGTCGACGTCTGAAACAAAAATAACCGAAGAGAAATTTGCAATATTTTGGTCAAGGTATTATGTTCCACGGTATAAGGATTTACAGGTTTGTAAAATAATTGTAGAACTTTGAGAATATGATTTAACATTTGGAACTTTTAGAAGAACATTACATTAAGTTTAACCGTCATAGGCCAATTCTATCTTTTCCTGATTTATTTCACAAACAATTTTAAAATACCCCTCTTACTTTGTGGAGCTATTGTAATACATTTCGTATAGAGGGTTATACACATAAATACAGTCAAACTTGTATATAGCGACCGCCCAATGGAAACACAAAGAATCATGGTCTTTGTAGACAGATTCCTTTAGTACATGTTTCAATGATTTTTAAGGGGGAAAAAATGTGGTCTTTGTAGAGAGACCTTACCGGACCTTACCAAATGCCAGACTTTGATTAACTTTGTTTAACCAGCCATATTCATAGGTTTTTAGTGGTTTACCTGTAGAGTAACGAAACGAAGAGAAGCACGGCTGAGCACACTAGAAAGAGAAGACCGCCCCCTGCTGCGAGCCCGGCAATAGTTGCTGTATTAATAAGTGTACAAAAAAGAAAAAATATCGAAATATTAGTTGGTCTAATTTCAATTTGTTCTAATTTTCAATAAATAAGTCTACTTCCCATTAAGGTCTATGGATCATTTAGTCTAATTTTCAGAGGTCTCACATTCCAAGTTTGTATGATGCTCACTATGAATACTATCCAAACGGTCTAATAAACATTTACTCATAAATAATAATCATCACAAAATGAAGGGTCACTTTATCATGGCATTGCCATTTCGATAGTCAACTTTTGACATACGAAATGATTACAGTGAATTGATTTGCTTTAAACATTTTTTTTTTGTTTTTACATGGAATCCGTTCAACATCTGATTTTGTAAGGAGTGCCACTCCCATGAGGCAAGCAAAAATAAAATGAAGTTCATGTGCAATTAGAAATCCCCCACGTGAATGAGTCACAGCATTAGCTCTCGAGTGGAAAATTGATCGATCGGTGTCAGGGGAATTTCCCCAACTCAGAACGACATACCCTGCCGTCTTACTGGAGTCAGGGAAGGGGCTAGGAGGGAAGGAGTGTTAATGTACCGACAAAAATTAAAGAAAGCTATACATTTAGCAGGGAATTTGTTTATGTTCTGAAACTGCTCCCAAATCAATGTTGTATAGATCTTGAACAGGGCCCCGTATCATGACAACAAAAAACGTAGAAGGTTACAATTGATGGGTATCGATCTCCCCAAGTTTATCGTATCTCCTTCAACGGTGTTCAATCAATATTAACTTTAAAATTAGTAATTATTTACGATTAATCCTATGTTAAATAAATAGATGCGGTTGGTAAGATAACTATGATTGATTGCAGGAAGACTGGAGATATAATGGATATTACAATTGATTGTAAGCCTTTGTTTATGCTACTAGGCCCATAAAGGAGATTATATGATGAAATACAGGGCCGGATTATCCCCCATGCGACCCCTGGTTGACACCACTGACGATCCTTCCTTCTAGGAGCAACGTTCAGATGAACTGGGAAGTAATGCAAGTATGACCGATTATTGGCAGGTTCCTGGGCGGCTAGTCCAGGGGCTAATGCTATCGAATCATTATGAGTAAGCCAGCTATTTCTGTCAAATTTCTTCTCATTCTTCCTCTTTCTAACAAAAATCTGGACCCGTCTTTTAAACAGTTCCGATTAATCGCAAATTATTTGCGATAAATATCTATCGTAACTATGTACATAAGAGATACGAGAGTGCAGACTGATCCGAATCAATCGCAACTCTTTATATCAAAGGTAAAGACCAGTTATGGTCATGCGATTGCATTGTGAAAGAAACGTTGTGGAATCGATCAGAAAAGGTTGATCATCTAGCATCTAGCATCTGCAAGGTAATGGAATCATCAAAATGACAAGAAATTTGGCCCATTCTTCGTAAAGTTACAAACACTATACACAGAAAGATGTATATGGGACTACCCTATATCTCTCACAGACCATGAGAGAAACAAATTTACCAAATATATGAATTAGTAGGCGGTTTCCCGGCAAATTTTTTATCATCATGTATTAGTCAAAACATATTCTTTCACATGATTGGTAATGAGAGCTTCCATTTCATTTTTTGAAATTGGGGCATTTCCAATACTGGTCTTTACCTTTAAAGACAGGGCCCTAGTATTCTGAAACCTCGTTTTATATACCTTTTGTAATCACATTCTTTATTTTCATTCACTTTTCCGTTTCTAATTTATAGATCTTGGAATCATGATCTTCATTTTTTTTTTCTACTAAAATTCAATTTTTCCTCTTTTCCTTATAAAGTCTATTCTTTTGTTTACGTTTAATTTCTTGCTTTGTATTTTTTTGTTTTTCTCGTGAGAAGGTACTATTATTCTTCTCGACCAGATTTTTCTTACTCTAATATACATTTTCCTTTTCTTTCCTCCTCCTCCCTTCCTTCCCTCCTCATCCTTCCTTCCTCTTCATCCTCATCAGCATAATCCTCATCATCTTCACCATGAAAACCACAAGTGCCACAACTACTATCACCATCATTGTCATCGTCATCGTTACACTTATCATGCTCTCCTTGTCACATGTCTCATACCATTTATCCAATACGATTAATCATTATATTATATCTTAAAATTTAATAGCAGCTAGAATAAACAACCAAAGAATAATAATCTTACATGTTGAAATTTTTTGTCCTGTAAGCTGTATAACAACCATGGTCGTTGAGGGCTGGTCCTGGCCAATGGTCATCGTAGGTGGCGCCCCCCTCTCTGTCGTAGATATCTTGAATGTCCGAGGACCTCTTGTGGAAGCGGCTTTCGTTGCTTCCGGTGTTGCAACAGAGGTTGTGATGGGTGACGATGTGGCTATGGTGGTCGCAACTGTTGTTGTCGGGGCTGATGTTGGTTGCAAGATAGCTGTTTTTATCATTTGAAAAGAAAAAACATTAAACAGATTGAGTTAGACACATATAAATGAGATCTTTAGAATTAAACGGAAGAACAAGCCCGCGAAGACTTTCGAAAAATCAAATTAGGAAAATGTATGTTTCTTTTTTTCCACCTTTTCAATGTAGTTACGCTTATTACAGTGCCTTGTTATGTAATCTCGACCTGATTTCTAGGGGGTATATAACATGGTATGAATATAGCCATTGAGTTGTTTGCTTGAAGAAGAAAAAGCACGTTGTGATTGTTTTAAAGATGACTGTCGCGCACAGCATTCCATAATCATGACGCCGATCATTTCAATAGGCACATTTACACCACCGTCTAAACCTTGAGATGTTACAGCAACTTCCACAGTTAGTAGCATCACGATGTTTCTTTGTAGTGTAAAGTGGTCTAATTAAGGACTTGCCGTCTGGCAATATGAAGGTTAACCGACTGAGAACGTGTCTATAAAAAGCTATCTGTTATTGAAGGGTTTTGTCTTGAGAATTATGAATCAGTCGTAACTAAACCCCGCTTTTCTTCCCAACCTTGGCCATGGCCTGTATTCCATGTGCTCTTGAATCTGGACTTACAATAAGAACAAAATAGGTCAGGTTAATAATAGCCTCATCCTACGACTTCAGTCCGACCGGCGACATTGTTTCCATAGTTCATGTCTCCAAAGGTTTCCTGGCCAATAAAGTTTGGTGTAAATGTGCATTGGAAAACACTACTTAGGTTAGACCTCGAAAATGCCGAGCAGAAGCGACATTCGACAAAAGAGAATAGACAAGCCCAAAGGTTGACTCGGGGGGAGAGAGAGAGAGAGAGAGAGAGGGAGGGGGGGGGGGTGAGGTGGGATGGACCTTTGTGGTAAATGAAGGAAAGAATGATACAGGGAGGGTAATGAGGATCTTCACGACTGTATTTGGAGTGCATCCCAGAACAAATACCATCCCAATTAGAGCAATTTTACTCTCTGGACCAATCCAGAAAACTACCTTAATAATTTCAAACGAACCAATCTCTTGGACCATCTCAATGCGCACACCATCCTTTTGGCAGTTACCTACATGACGGTCAATCTTCTCGGATCCAGAAGGACGCTAGCTCATTATACTTCAGCACAGATTTAACCCCCTTCTTGCACTGAGGCAATTATGAGTAGTTTGCCAGCGCGGGAAAGTGGTTAATGTCGTAGATTTCTAAATCGTACCTGCCAAACAAAAAAAAAAAACTGGGAAAAGGGAATTGTTGTTTGGTGGAAGTCGGTCGAAGTTTTATGGTCGATAAGGGTAAATAAGGATTACTCGTGTGGGTGATACTGTAACAGTAATTTCGCCATAAGTTGAGAGTACAAGAGCAGTTATTGCATCGTGGACAATCCTAGGCCTCTCCCCGAACAAAACCAATAGGAAGTATATATTTATTTCAGACCACCCCTTCCTGTCTGTTTGTCAACTTGTATGCCAGTTTCTCTTTCTTTGTCTATATATTATATATATATCTATATATACTTGTCAACGCATAGAATCGGGTAACCTGTCGAGTGACGGCACATACTTTTCATTCTAGTCAGAGCTCCAAGGATCACATCTAAGCACTGATCTGACCTAGTGACCTTGAAGATAAAAATGGCGGGAAGTTCCGCTCGTGCTCTTCGGCTTCCTTCTACAAACATCGACCTCTTAGAGGTGTTAGTAGTAGGTCCATGGTTTGACAGAGAAAATGTCTCAAAGGTACATCTCGATGGTTTGGGGAAGAGCTTTGTCATAATTTCCTGCCATGGACCGCCCTGAGCCTGCCGAGTGATTTTCTTGGATGTTAAGGAGCGGAAGTTGATATTTACCTGAATTAGGGAGGCTTTGGGGCACCAGCCCTATATGGGAGAATCTGGTAATTCGATATGACATTTCATGTAGCGTAAAATGTACTTCTTCCCTTCTTCCCGTGGCTGGAGTACACGGTACTATCAGAAAACCTCTCAAAAGACTTAGTTTAATTTAAGGGGAAGTCCACCCTGTCATTGAATTGGTTTTAATAGAAGCAGAATAATTAAAGGGACAGGTCAGTGAAGGTTCGGGCAAATTCCGATTAAACATAGGACACTTTTATTATCAATCAAACACAAATTGGTAACGCTTCGATGTATCTTCAACAATAAGGGATAGAGCAACGTCGATCTGGCGCTGCTCAGTGGCTGCCGGGCTCACGATCAATTGGGCAAAAAGAATTTCCATATTCGGTTTAACTTAATAAAACTTGGAGTGGACTTTAAAAGATTATTATTATTACTATTATTATTATCATTATTATCTTGCGAACTCCTCTTCAATTATTAACCTGTACAGACAATTTAATTAACTTCAATTTTCTTCGTTATTGATGATGGAATAAGATTTTCTTCTTTACAGGGGTTAAATAAAAACATATTCAGGGTGCATGAATGATTGAAAGTTATGTTGAAGGAAGTTTTTTTAAATCTCGTTTGTTAGTACAATGCAAATAGGAAGGGAACATGCAAGATACGTCGCAGAGTTGCCAATTTGTGTTTGATTGATGGCAACTCCAAAACATCAAAACTTTCTTATTTTTAATCGGAGACCGATAGTCATGATACCAGCCATATCGATCTCGTGGGCTGTCGGTCTACGGATGTCCCCGAATGAAACATGTTTTTTGTATATACTCGCTTGTTATATTTTCTCCTTTATCATAATAACAACCGGGTATATTACCGTGACAACCTCCCCCGTTCAGCTAATCGCAACAATCACCCTAGATAATTAACACCGGACAGCTATCTCGAACAAATACCCCGGACAATTTCCCTCTGCCAGCTACTCCAGATAATGGTAATTTGAGCAAAGAGCGATGCGTAAGTAATGGGATTCTTCTTTTCTTTATTCGTCAAACTTCTCATATTCAACTTTTTAAAAACTACTTTGCTGTCGTCCTCTATTTGTTACCGAAAGCAAAAACGATGGTATTATAACGTGATGATGCTAAATGAAAATTGCAACTGTTTGAGATTTGACCTACTTATTGGTTTGTGTCATGTAATCTTCGGGAGAGTGACATGTAGTAATTTTTCACTGTTCATTTAACAGGTGTCATGATTGCTCTATCAACTGATGACGTTACTGTAGCTGTATTATTTAATGGAAGGTACATAGAGTGACGTCACAGAAGGCAAATGCCCGATTAGTTTCTCTGTCGTCATCACACCCTCACCTATACACCCTCCCCCCTCTCTCTCTCTCTCTCTCTCCCTCCCTCACTCCCTCTCTCCTTTGCATGTCTGTCTCCGCCTCTCTTTAATTACATAACCTCGATTTATATCATATCAGATGAACGTGAATTTGTTTAAACATTATAATGTGATGTCATAATTATCGGCTTGCCATGAGTCCGAAATGAAACTGGTCCTGGGTATTGTGTTGAAATAAAGACTTAAAAAAGACTTCTTATCCCTATTATACTATATTTCCTCTCCCACTTTCTTTACAAACCCTTGCTATTTTTTTTTCTCTCTCTCTCTCTCTCTCTCTCTCTCTCTCTCTCTCTCTCTCCTGTCTCTCTACCCATGGACCCATGCGCTACCCCTCTCTCTTTCTCTTTCTCTCTCTCTCTCTCTCTCTCTTCCCTTCCGACCCCCCCTCTCTCTCTCTCTCTCTCTCTATCTATTCCTTTCTATATATCTCCAACTTTCTGTCTATCTCTTTCACCATCCCTCTTTCCCTCCCCTCTACGTGTCACTCTTTCCCAGTGTCATGTACTAGTGTTGATATAAGGACACGGAAGCGTGGTTAATCTTGGGATTATATGATCCATATTTCAGATTAAAAGCGAGAAGAGATTAAGCTGACTAATTAGTAACACATGAGTAAACGTGTCGGTTGATGTTTCAGAAAGTTTGGCATGCCTCAGTTTGAAGGGGAAAACAGTCTGCTCACTCAAAACAATTCAAGATTCACCATACTCAAGAAAGAAGAATTGCGTACAAACTGGCAGGGACCTAAGTTATACGTAGTAGCAATGGGGAAAAGCCCTCTTGAAAATGTTTTGTGAAGGCAATGTTTTCAATGGCCAGATCTTCCAAATAAATCTACCAGCCCTAATCACAGTCTGACCTGCAAAACATGATGATAATATCTGTATACCCTACATAAATGTAGGGGTAACACTTCTCCCGAATACATTATATTTTGTGATATGTATTTTTCCTACTGCCAGAACACAACCCATGGTGTGTACGTATACGCCCTCGTCGGCAGGGCTTGGAAATTAGCGACAAAACGCTATTTTAGGGGTAAAAGGGGCCGGAAAGATGACATTGAAACTAATGGCCCTTGTCACGAATACTCACTTTTATTATTAAAAAGATAAGTGTGGACTCGTACTGCATACATCGTCTGTTGCAAAATATGTCAACCCTCGGACATGCTTTATGGTTCTTAAAGTAGATATTCATTGATTTTAAAAACTAATTTTATTTTCATTATTGCAAAGTTGAAACTTTGATTTGACAAGGTTATCAAAATTCAATGCTTGGAAACATTCGAAGTAAAGATTATTATAAATTACAAAACGCTTAAATACAACCCCGGCATAGCACCTGGAGAGCTCTCCGAACGCTGCTGGGATATGTGAGATCACAGTATGGACATGACTTGCACAAGCAGACGATGTCCCATGACATCTCACACATTTTCAGTGCCTGCGTTTTCATTTTCTCTTCAGTTCTTTCTCTTACTTCACTACCGTCAGGCTAAATGTATAATCTATTGGCTCACTCTAAACCCCGCACATGGTTTTATTTTGATGAAAAATGCAGCGATACAGAAATAAAGGAATCTGTCGCTTGTAAACAAAATAATACGCCATTGTATATTCAGCTGTACACACCGGGGTATGTTCGGCGTTTCAAGAGGGAACAAATGTCGTCCTTAATATCATTCCGGGGGTTTTTCAATTTGAAAGTCTGGTTTCTTTGATTGTTAATTAACCCCTATCCTGTGTATTTACAAGCAAAAGATTTTAGTTATTAGAATCGGGTCATATCCCCTTTTGAATGGTTTGACATGACATTACATTTATATACACGAAACTCGTTATAATTTGAGAAATAATAGCTTTGCAATTATGTTCATTCTCTATGAGATGTCGTCTGCTTGGGCAGTGTTGGTCCATATAGTGACGTCATTAAAACATCGTTATTTTTCCGGCGAATCTCTCGTATATCCAAGCTGCTATGGAGGTGGTTGTATTTGTATTTTTATAAATCACCCGATATGTAGTTGACCTAAAACTTGTCCGATGGCCATCTGTTAGCTTACCAGTTTCTAGTGATACATTAGTTGACGTATTTGTGATTTTCTTTGAATTTCACCTTTAACAGCCACTTTGTTAAAGAACCATGCCTAACATTAATGGTCTATGATAACCCAGTGACGTCTCAAAACCGACCCTAACCGACCCTTATTGAGAGACGTTCTTGGCCATAAGGGATAATTTGTCGTTTTGGTATGTTGTGGGTCTGGTATTGGTCTAGTTGGTGTGATTGTAGTATAAGAGATAATTCTTCTTCTTCTTCTTCTTCATATGAACTTCTTTACGTCCCATTTCCTGATACGTTGGCGACCATGGAATGCCACAACTCTCTGTCCCATATCAGTAATTCATTCTCCCCGAGATCAATTCCACTTCCAGAAATCCCATTTCTTAAGCTACTCATACACAGAATCCTCCTTCTACCCCTACTTCTCCTCCCCTCTATTCTTCCAGTCAGTGCAAGATTTTTCGAACCATTCTTGCGAATAACAGAGATGTAATTAAAGTTGATGTGTTTACTCACTGCGAAAGACTGCAATCTTCTGCACACCGCCGCAGCTCTCCGTCGGGTTCCCGACGCAGGTCACCTGACAGTGTTTATCCGCGTAACGTTGCTGCCGCGCGTAGTCCGCGTCCGCACTACCGCAGTAACATTCACTCGCGTACTCAACCCCAGCGTACAAATGGCCAAGCTCCATGCAGTAGTCCATGCAGATCTGCGGTGACATCAAGCCGGTCATCGGGTAGGTTGCCGCGGTCAGAACGCGGTCGTATCGGTTGTCGCCGTAACAACCGAGGTAATGCTCATCTGCGTGTCGAGGAAAATGAGAGAGAGGGGGAGAGAGAGAGTGGCGTAAATAAGGAGGAGACGGGAAATATACGACATTGTTCTACCATTTACAGATATGTACTACGCGAAGTGGGCGAGGGGGCACAATGTGTTGCGGGAATTGTGCTTGTTTGCTTGAGCATTACAGATGAAATCCATATCAATGTTACATTATCAAAATCTAATCAGATGATGTCACTGAGGAAAGGTAGACAACCGTTCCTTTTACTACGGTCTTTTACTCATTTAATTTCTTTAAAATAATACGAGCAAATAATGTTTCTAATCAAGATGTTTTATTTGTAAAGCGCTTAGAGACATTTAAGCGCTATATAAAAATTAGATAGTATTATTATTATTATTCTATACACCTGTAATATATCTAAAACGAAAAACAAAACAAAAATCGAATAATTGAAAGGACAAGGGAATTATAGTTGTCACAAAATACTGCATTCAGCCAATTGGCAAGTACAAAATGTCATTATTTTGTACGTTGAAACTATTTTGTAAATACAGCAAGCTATAATGAAAACGCTTCGTGATAGTATTATCTTGAGATAATAATATTATAATAACCGTGGAATAGTTTAACCCTGAAAATTATATCATCGGATTAGCGATTTGTGCCCTGTTCATTTATCTTTTGAAACTATCCCAAACCCGTCATTCCTTCTCTTTGAAAACGTTGCAACATTGGGATTTCTTCCACACTGCACGGGATGAAGATGAAGGATGTTGGTACGTTACCATAGCAACTAGCCCAGGCCGGTTGACACGCCTCGAGGGTACTGGTATCAATGGGGATCCGGGGGCAATCGTTGACTTCCGTCTCGGCTGTCATAAAAAAACGAAAGAATACATAAGAATAAAAATAGGTAAGAGCGACGAGTGGAAGTTGGTCTACATGGACAAAAAGTACAAGTAATTGACCTTTAAACATACCACATAAATATTGATCAGCTGACGAGGATTAGACAAAAATAACCAGCAATGTTTGATACGATCAACTGTGTCAACAGACCCCGTAGGTTGCTCGCTCTCAGAACAGATGTGAGTGCGTGAGACTGAGAGGGAACGGTTTTGGGAACTCTATAAAATCGTTGGCATACTAAAGTCGAAAACCTTTGAATGATTAGAGAAGAGGCTGGCAAAATAATAATCGTTACATATCATTTGATTTTATTATCTAATTTTCTCAGTCCTTTCTTTTTACTTCCTGATATCACTAATTCATGAGGATGATAACATTTGAATAATCATGACTGGGTAATTGATATTAACTTATTCTTAACATTTTTTGTTGTTGTCCATTTTTCGAAAAATCATATTTATTTAAGGGTGAACTTGAACCTGAGCAGTGGCATATCTATGGAGAGGGCATGAAAGCACCTATTCACTCCCATTCGGATGGTGGCAGAAAAGGGAAAGGGAGAGGGAAAAGTACCATGACAAGTGGATAATCAGGATACGACCCGCTCTCAACCCCTCCCATATTAGAAGCCTTGTTAGTTCATATTTTATCCACACCACGCTATAGAAGGGTATCCCTCGTCACCCCCTTCCCCCGATGCCAGTGCGCCATCAACGGCTGATGATCAAACGCTACGCCATTAACCCATTACCAACTTAAACAGGGTGATTTCTGCATCAAACCTATCAGGAATATGAGAATGCAGTATTCAAAGGGTTAAAACATCAGACAACATACTTCCTGTGCAGCTGAACTGTTGATCATAGTAGGCGACCGGTCTGTCAGGGTTGACCATCTCTACGGTGAACGCTCGACTGGCTCCCACCTGACCAAGCTGTCTACAGATCACCTGTACGTCAATGATACTCCAAGATGGGGTGTGGCACACCGTCAACCACGTCGACCTCGCCCCGTCAAGGATCTCCACGATGCCCGAATACTGACTGGTACCGTTCGAAAGGCGGACCTCTGCAGGGGTGAAACAAAGAGGAAAAGAAATCATCATGCATGTTGCGCTCGAAGCGCCATTTGTGAAACGCAAGCCTGCGTCAGCGACTGACGAGGCATTTGACGCACCATATGAGTGTAAAGCCCATTGCATATACAATGCGTCATTCCGATTGTGTCATTACACCTGCGCTAGTTGAAAGCCAATTACCGCATGCGCCATTCCGTTCAGCATTAAACTTTGTGTACCATGTCACTGTCATAAATGCACGTGTAATACTTCTACGTCAGTCCTACGTCAGCAAACGACGCCTCATGTGCAACGAGCAAATCATCTTTTTTTTAATTGCCACTTTACATCAGGGCCCCGTGTTATTAAGAGTTGCGATTGACCCTAATCAATTGCAAGTCCTATTATCAATCGCAAATTTTCAGTCTCCTTTCTCTTACGTACATAGTTGCAATTGATATCAATCGCAAATAAGTTGCAATTAATCGCAACTCTTTATGAGGCGGGGCCCAGGAATTTTTCTTTATGAAGGTCATGTGCAACATGATCTTCGAGTAAAATATGAACTACTGCCCTCCCTCTCCACTGACCACAAACCGCATACTATCTTAATAATGTTTATCCTAGCTAAACTGTGATCCTGACAATGACACCCATATCTATGTTTCATAGAGGATTGTTCAGCTGCTCACATTAATGTCACCCTGTTCCTTCCGTACGAAGGAGATGTCGTATTAAATCCCCGAAATAAAATTCAAACGTGATTTATTTCTAATTCGATACCAGTAATTTACAAATGTTGCTAAAATTACAAGATTGTTCGGGGGTTTTCTCACTTAAAAAAAAAAAATTATACCTTTTTTTTTCTTTCTGCCCCCAACTTTTGTTCGCTCATAACGCCATTGCTTCGCACATACAATGGGCATTAGGTGTCAGGGTTACAATAGCAAGCACTTAAATATCATGTTCTAAACAAAGGAGATTTATCTGTACATAGGTGTTATGCTCTGTATAATCAATACAACAATCTAACTTTATTTTATTTCATCCTCTCTTCTTACCCCCTGCCCCTTCCTTTTTCTTCCCTCTCAAAATCATCACATGCTCTCTGTCGTCATCTGTTTTACTTTCACAACAATGACATGAACCATCATGGATAACGTGAATCACTGCAATATGAGTCTTGAGTTTATCGTGCTTTTAGTAGCGTAGCGTAGGAGCAGAAAACTGGGGTGGGGTGGCACCGGTATCATTGGGGGAGGGGCCCCGGTCGGACCTTAGTTGCTGGAATGTGAAGTTTAAAATGCCGCCGAACTAACAAGGGGCGTCCCATCACCTCCTTCTCATGCCCCCTGCATGCTCTCCTCTTGCTCATCTTTTGTATCTCCCCCCCCCCCCACCCACCCACCCTCCCCTTCGCATTCCCCGGTCGCGCTGTAGTTATGTCTTTGTAAGATTTGATGTCTATCTACAAAGTTATCACCTTTCGAAAATATTTTGAGTTAAGGCCCATTATACAATGTGTGATATAAGGAACGTCTTGTTATCATTATACATATCAAGAATGAGATTGAATTTTGATAACCTCATCCTGAATGACAAAACATCAAGAAGGCTAAGCAAAACAAAAATGAGGAAAGAAAAGAAGAGAAAGAGAATAGATTTTCTGGCAGTCCTTATATTTCATACATCAAGAATTATGAGATTAAGCAGGTATTGTTCTGCTATGTATCTTGTCAACCTTGATCTTGATTCAACATCTGTGTGCAGTGTCATGCAGAAAAGAAATCACTGAAGACAGAAATTTAACCGTAGTCAGATTACATTCACAACATATTATGAGATTAAACAGGTATTGTTTCCTCTCACAACAATGACACATTTGGTCCCGATTCGATCAACCTGAGAACATTGTCTTTCTTTGAAGTTATAATTTCCAAACCGAAGTTTAGAAGACGGCTGTTGCAAACAGGGGGTTAAGAAAGGGGTAGATGATGAGAAATGTTGCCTATCTTAGTTTGAAATTTTCCATGCCAGAACAGGTTTGATCATGTTTCAGTCTTAGGCTGAGTGATGAACATACCATTTGTGTTTTGAAGAATGGGTATATTGGTTGACTCATCATATTTTGCGATTTTCTATATCCCTGCAAGAGTGGGGAGTGGGGGGGGGGGGGGAGTTGATCCTTATGAAATTAAAATTTAATGAGATTCAGCCACATCACGCCAGTTCTCAACGTACTCCATTGGTTGCCCATGGCCATGAGTGAACGTATTGTTTTCAAAATTATTTTGCTTTTATTTCATTGTGTCCTTTTCTCCGCTCCACAATACACTATTAATTTGATAAATCATTACATTCCGTCCAGATCTTTACGCTCTAAAAACTCTGGATTTCTTGTTCTTCCTATGCTCACTAAGGGGGTGGGAGAACCTTTTCTTTTACATGCAGGACCTTCGCTGTGGAATGCTCTTCCTCGACAGATTCGTAATAGCAGATCAACTGAAGTGTTTAAACAAATTCTCTTAAAACGTTTCTGTTTAATTCGGCATATAATTAATTGTTCTATCATTTTTGCATGTTCTATCTCACTTTTTTGTCCCTTGTTCGTAATGCAGATGCTTTATGTGATTTTTCTCCCTTTTTTCAAATTCGTCTTTAGAAATTAATTCTAAGTGGATTCAAAGCAGGTGCTTTTATGTGATCTCTTTTGGGGTGATTTATGTTTAACTGTATTTCAGCGCCTTAAAAATCTCATACATTAATATCATTTGTTTAATTAGTATTACCATTATTATTATTATTTTTATCATCATTATTATCATTATCATTATCAATATTATCATTATTAATATTATTATTATTATTATTACCTTAATCTAATCTCTTCCTCCCGAAGGCTAGTCTACTTTCAAGTTGGAACGCACACACTGAAAGAGTTATCAGTGGTTATGTACACATTATAATCTCAGAACATAACGTTTCATTTACGTTCATACAGATCGCGTATTGATGATAATTGTTTCCTTTTGTGGTGCTGTGAAATAATTTTCTTCAATATAATTATATTAGACAGGTCAGACGTTGTATGTGGTTTGTCTTGTCACATGTATAATTTTTCAGACGGTGGTATTAAACTGGGTGTAACGAAGATGGACATAAACATTACACACCCATCAAAGATATAATTATCATGTCTATAGAAAATTAATGAAATTTGTCTGTTGATAAAATCAAACGGTATGCGCATCTATTTTCTTATATTTATTATAGATATTTGACATGTTAAGCCTATTGTAGACGTCGTTTCTGTCTGTTTTGATATGTTGATTTAAAATCATTGGTACACTCAAGTATATGCAATGGTATAGAGAGAATTATTAAATCAACACAAATTAAGCACCAGGCCCCCTCCGCCCCCCCAACCCCCAACCCCCGACCCCCACTACCATATCACAACCACTTCCTACCCGTATAATGATGTACATGGGCTATGTTGTACCTTTCAATAAAACCATTATGGTGGGGGGCGGGGGGGGGGGGGGAGAGCCATAGGCCGCTGTATGCTTATTCCAATCTGTAAACCCCAACAACCTCGGACAAAACGAAAACAAAACACCAAAGGGTTTCTGTCCGTTTTCGGATCATGTTGAACAAAAGAAATCTAGGGTAAACAATAATACTTTTATACTGTCATCTGTTTGAACAGTCGTACACTCACGATAAAGGGATCATTAATTCTAACTATTATATTTACTGAGTCAACTATCCTTACTCTCCAGAGAGGAAATCAGGAGGGATAAACAAAATATCGACCTGGCAACCGCCACAGAAAGAGAAAGATCAAACTGTCTCATGATAGCTTTTGTTTTTGGCTTTGTTTGGTTTTGTTTCTGTACTTTATTTTTATTTGTCTTAACGTGCATAGGGAGGTTGTCTATATATTTATGCCTTGACATCTGACGACTGCCAAGCCGATGTTTGGCAGCAAAGGTCGCTTTGCCGTTTTAGTGCGGAATACAGCGATTTTCTGCGGATTGTTGCGGTCCGATGCGATTATACTTTGCAATTATCATCAAACTTGATTAGGCTCAAGTTCCTTGGAGCCCTTGCGATTGGTTACGATTATTTTGCGGTATCCTGCGGTCTTGTAAGTTTGTCTGCGTTTTCGGCGAACAATCGCAGGTAGTTAATACCATCACACGACTGTGAGAAATTTGCTTCGCGGCTTTAAATTATTTTTTACTGCGAACAGTGATGAGTACCTCTTAAAACCCATAATGCGTCTTGAAATTCTCTATAAAATGCAAAACAGAAGACACTTATAATGATCTCGAAACAATCATGACTAATCGCTGATATTATTAATGTAGAACGTGAAGGTTGCCTGTATGTCGAGGTTATTTTTGAAACCTTCCTGGAAATGCCGTCAGCTCTAGGTTTTCCTGTCGCCGCACTGAAAGAAGGGGTAAGATTGTTAAAGGGGTAATATTGAGCTGCAAACATTCAATCCCTCTTCACGCTAGGGGTGCTGAAAGCTGGATTACCATGACATGGTAGATTACATGAGAAGTGTACCCCCAAATAGTAGGTTAAACTTGGCAAATTCATGAAATTTTGCTGCTATAGATAAAAGAGGCAACACTTTTTGAAAACTATTTTTTACTGAAAAATAAGGAAAAGAAAAGCTCTATGAATAGAAACTTCACAGCTGTGTCAGCATACCTGGACATATTTTTGGCGATTTCGTTGGGGGTTGACTTCTCTTGTTCGAATATTAATTAATTTGCAGTGTCTAGATTTTGTGAACGAGCCAACATTTTGACAATTTCTTTCAGTGACGATTTAATCCTGTCACCAAAATGTAAAAAACAAGATAAAGAAGAAAATGTGACAGTTAGGGTGAAGTGGCAGTTGCCCAAACATAAAACGGCGTTTTAGATTTGTTGTTGTTGTTGTTGTCATTTCAACATTCACGGAGGATTGAGGGGAAGGGGGGGGGGGGTTGCTA